GAGGTGCGTGTGCTACTTCCTTATGGGGATCGTGCATCTGCACTGCACGGCCTTGCGAGCCCCAGGTACAGGCTCCACCCTGGGGGTGTGGAGGAAGCTGGGGATGCGCCCTCCCCCCAGAAAGAGGACCCTCTGAGTAGACAGGCATGCAGAGCACACAGTGACAGGGACCATGCAGTCAGGAGGGCTCACAGGCCCATGCTGTGCGGATGGGGGGCAGGCATGGGTGCCATTAGGTGTGGCATGTAGGGAGACATGGGGCTGTCCTACTGGGACCCCACGGAGGTCAGGGTGCCAGAGGCCTGTCTCAGGCCTGCTCAGGCCCCCACCTGCTCAGTGGGGCATGCTGGGTGGCAGGAACCACAGGTGCCATGAGGTTGCCCACAGTTGGTGGATGACACTGAGCTGAACCAGCTGCTTGCTGTGGGGGATAACCCGGACCCTGGCTTCAACCTGGCTCGAGAGGGCTGTGCTCAGAGCAGCGGGGCTGCGTGTGCTGGCCAGAGTATTGAGAACAATGTGTTGGGTTGTTATTATTATTATTATTTTTTTGTCTCCCTCCCTTTTGTACTTTCACCTATTCATTCCAAAAAATATGCATTTGGTCAATGAGAAGAAAAATTTGTACTAATAGTGTTTATTTTTTTTTTTTTTCTTTTTTTTTGCTCCGAATGCCTTCAAGGCATGACTGGCTGGCTTGTGTTGTGGGGATCGAACCACAGCAACCTGAGCCTGACTGCTTTGTTGAAGCAGCCACTTAAATAACTGAGCTAGGGGGCAGGCCCCCAGTGGAAGAAGTGTTTTTTTTTTTTTTTTTTTTTTTTTTAACTAATAGTGTTTAGACAGGATATCATGTCTGTATCTTGTACTATGAATAACTGCTACAAAGACAACAATATGCAGTGTATTAATTATTGTAACTGTCCTATTAACCTGTTTTGAAACTGTCTCATTGCTATTTATTTCTCAGTAAAATTAATTAAAAAAAAAGAAAAAAGAAAAAAAAATGCATTCAGAACTGGGCATGGTGGAGCATGCCCGTAACCCCAGCACTGGGGAGGCTGAGACAGGAGGGTCACTATGAGTCTGAAGTGTGTAGTAAGACTCTGTGTCAAATACATACACAAACAAAAAAAAATTAAAATTAAAAATTATGCAGTTCAGGCTGGCCCGATGTTGTCTCTCTTTTATTTATTAATTTATTTTTGCGGGACCAGGGGTTGAACTCAGACCCTTGTGCTTGCCAGGCAACGCTTATTCTACTGAGCCATCTCCCCGGCCCCAAGATACTGTCTCAAAAAAAAAAAGGGCATTGAGTCCATTGTGGCTTTCCTTCTGTCATCCTGCCTGTGCCCCGACACACTTTCCCTCCTGTCCTTGGCCCACACTTGCTCTGCAGAGCCAGTTTCTCCCTCTTCTCTTTTACTTTTTCAAGTAAACTTTGTTATTGTTTAAAAAATGCATTAGTGGGTCCAGGGAGATGGCTCAGTGGAATAAGCGCTTCCCTGGCAAGCACGAGGGTCTGAGTTCAATCCCCGGTTCCGCCCCCTCCCCAAAAAATGCATTAAGGTGATAATCCAGGCACTTGGAGTTGGAGTGACCCCCTGCCCTGCCCTGAAAAGCATAGCGAAGCACCGTCAGCCGTTCTGGGGAGAGACAGTCGTTCACGGTAGAGATGGGGTGGTGTGACTAATGGCGGGAATGCAGCGGGGTCAGGAGGCGCTGCAGATGCCCACGTGTGTGTGCATGCGCGTGTGCATGTGCTGTGCGTGAGGTGTGCATGTGTGTACGAATTTCAACTCTGACCTTGTGTGAATGTCTCTGTGTGCACATGTGTGTGCACATAAACACATGCTTTGTGGGCATGTGTGCATGATGTGTTGTGTGCTCAAGTGTGTGTGTGTGTGATGGCTCCAGAGAGAGGGAGGATGTTACTGTACTGTCGTGCCAGTGCCCTTTTGGAGTCACTTTGTGGGAGGAAACGAGCATTTGGCATACTGTGCGGCTGGCTCTGCTTAGCATGCTGGCCTCCTCAATGTGTCCTTTTATTCCAGAATGTTCTTTCCAGAGAGGGCTGAGTTGGGGCCAGGGTTTCTGAGGCTGCCCTTGGTCCTTGCCCAACTCACCTGGGGTGGTCATTTGTGTGTGCGAAGTGGCCCTGTGTTGTGCACAGTGGATGGGGTTGCTAGTGGAATCCCTTAGGGCTTAGAACAGGGTACACAGAAAACACCCTGTGTTTGCCACTCTGTTTATGTTTTGGTTTTTTGAGGCTGTCTGGCTATGTAGTTCAGGCTGGCCTGGAGCTCACTCTACTACATAGCCCAGGCTGGCCTCGAACTCCTGCCTCTGTCTCCTAAGTGCTGGGAATACAGACTTAATCCGTCCGACCCCATGCCTTGAGCTGTATTTGGTTTTGCATGAGAAAGATGAAAGTGCATCCTGCGGTCCTACGTGGTCCTGAACTCTTGCCTGTACGCGACTGATTACCTGCAACTCCCTGTTCTGCGTGTGGAATTTCTTCCTGAGATCACTGCTCGTAAGCTTCTCTTTCTAAATGCCAGCTTTGTCTAGAAAGCCTGGAGCTGAAGGAAACATTGGCACCTCCTTGGCCTGCACCCTCGCTGCCCGCCTGTGAGTGGCACGCCCCCACAGCCTGCGCATGGGCTTCTCTCACCAGGGCTGAGTGTCAGGACCTTGGGAGCAGGACTGGGCCACGGGGCTCTCCTGTGCCTCTGCTCGCCTGAAGGGTGCAGGATCCCCCAAGGACTGGCTGCGCAACCCCCCTCGGCTGCTGAGCACCTTACATACTGGCTCCTGCGAGCCGCCAGACCCTCCACAGGAGTGGTGCAGCTCACGGCCACAACAGCCTTGCAGGCACTGTTGATTTGGTGGATTCTTGGTGGTAGACATCCCTCTGGATGTGAAATTGTATTCCATTGTGGGCTTTTTTGCTTTCTTTCTTTTGCTGCTGTTGTTTTGAGATAGGATCTCACTGTAGAGTTCAGGCTGCTCCTGAACTCACTTTGTAGCACAGGTGGGTCTTGAACTCGCAGTGATCCTCCTGCCTCAGCCTCCTGCGTGCTGGAATTGCAGACATGCATCACCACGCCTGGCCTCATTGTGATTTTCATTTGCATTTTCCTGTTGGTGTAGGGCATCTTTTTATGTGCTTCTTGGCCATTTGATAAATGTGTAATCAGATCTACTGACTACTCTTTTATTTTATTTATTTATTTGAGGAACTGGGGATTGAACTCAGACTCTTGTGCTTGCCAGGGAAGTGC